AATTTTCTGTTTATTATCTACCAAAATAGTCAGCCACCTTATAGGAGCTTAGAGATGATTGTAAAGTTGGTAATAATCAAACAGCATTGTGTACGTGTTTTAATTCCTTGGAATTGGCTATTATTGTTGATGATATTAGAAATATCAATGGTTTAACTTTATAAGTTACGAAATAATAAATAACAAAGAAAAGTAAGTGATTAAAGTAAGGAAGGGAAGAAAAGAAGAAAGGAAAGGAAAGGAAAGGAAAGGAAAGAAAAGAAAAGGAAAGGAAAGAAAAGAAAAGAAAAGGAAAGGAAAGAAAAGGAAAGAAAAGGAAAGGAAAGGAAAGGAAAGGAAAGAAAAACATTTTAAAAATTAGATTCGCTATTTTAATACTAACATGCCATTATAATTACAATAAAATGAAAGTGCGAAAAGCAAATGATAGGGTTAACACAACAGCATAGCCAATTTCTGTGGGCACAAACAATAAGGGGGAAAACAATATAACTAATAAGTAATTGAGAGAAGATAATTAATGACAGCAAGTAGAAGGACTAGTGAGGCTAAGACAAGAGTTGCACCTGGGAGGAGTTGTTTTAATGCTACGAGGCTCTTCAATGTTATAATGTTGACGTTCAAAGCAACTTGTAACAAAGAATATAATTAAATATTTATCGCAATGTTGATTCAAAGGAGAAAGGAATAATGGAGGGATTAACTGTAAGAAAGAAGGAAGAAAAGGATGATAATAAAAAAGACAAGACAAGAAAGTAAGGAAAAAAAGAAAAAACAAAGAAATACAAGTAGGAAAAAAGAAGAGAAAAAAGAAGGAGAAGAAGAAAAAGAAAAAAACACTGTAAGGAAGACTCAAATATAGCACAAAACTTTACAGCGATGGCAAGCACGATCCCATCAATATAACGTTAATTAAACTTTACTGAAAAGCTCATTGAAATTCTCATTTGCAATGAAAGCTGTTACTCGTTTCCTAACACCTATTAACGATGTGAGTGGATTATAAGCTCTTTAATGTTTATTCCTTTTCGCTTCAAGTGTTTGGGAATTACAGTACTAGCTACAGAGAAGAAATTCCAACGAAACGATGGACATGGGTAGAATATTTTCATCCTACAAAACCGTAAGTTTTGCCAGGAACTTGGTATACTTTTTTGTATCCATTTGATAGTGAGAAGGCCTTTTTTGATGGTCTACAACACTGGAATAACGCTGTTGGCAGTAAAGCTGCACTAAGATTCAAGAAGAAGTTCGCTTTTTATACGAGCTTATTTCAATGGCATATTCAGTTGTCCTAAATTTCACAATTCGCCGTAAAAGATCAATGAAAGTTGAAAGTTTGAATAAGATAAGCATAGCAGCAGCAAACAGTCTGAAGATATTGAACTGTTTAACGTTAGAGAATTTTGTATGGATTCCTGAGATCTGGCTCGGGCTCCTGTCCTTAGTTTTTCAAAAGTTTATATCAGTTCTGTTTTGATCAACATATTCTTTCATACAAAAAAGAAAATTGCCATGAATACTTAGACTTTAGATTTCCACTATGTTGATAATGATCAGAAAAGATTTCGTAGCAAATGTTTGGCTCTGTTTGTTTAAATGAACTTGACTGGAAAATAATCTGTAAAACGATTTGGTATTCAATGTTTGACTCTATTTGAGTGAATGACTTGTTTGGAAAATAATCTGTAGAAAGATTTCGTAGCCAATGTTTGACTCTATTTGAGTAAATGAACTTGTCTGAAAAAGATTTTTTCTTGAAAAGACGTATTTTTTTTATCCATTCAGTATCTCGGATTCTTCATTTTGGCACTGGAGTTGAATAGCAGTCTTGCAGTACAATGTCTGCCTTATAAATCAGAGCACGAGCAAGTGCATGGATTCGCTTTGTGTTGCAGCGAATACAAGTCCTTCAGCACCGCAAGCTTTGCTACATGTCTGCTGGCCTGTGAAACAGACATGACTTGTATGAGCCTAAACTTTCTCATGTCAACCAGCACATGCGATCTGAACACACAGACCAAGGAGTCTACACCACGATATTTTATACAGAGACATAACAGTATCTATTCCATCAACCCTTCTGGAAGAACAAGTAAGATCTTTTTATTGATTACAAGTATTATAGAGTCAAACATCTGGTTCTTTTCCCCCTTCTCGTTGACGGTATATTCGATCGCCTCACCTCCGAAGTTTTGTTGGGTCTCACCAGAAACTTATAAGCAAGGGCAGATCCAGGGTGGGGGGGGGGGGGGCAAAGGGGGGCAAAGGGGGGCAAAAGGCCCCCCTTCAGCAGAAAAACAAAATAAAACAAAACTGGAGAATTAGATGCTTTTTTTATTGTTTTCCGTCGTGTTGACGGAAGAAACTCAATTAGTTCCCACCCCCCCTAAAAATATTTTGGCTGTGGACAAACATTGCAATTGAAACGAGTGACAGCCATACATTATTTAGTGCGATCCTCAGAAATATTCAAGCTTTTTGTTGATGAATTCCTTCTGCACAAATCATCATATTTTTGCTTTGAGTCAATCCAATGTTTATCCCGTTTGGAATCCTGTATCATTTTCTTGAGTACTATTTATTTGTTTGCCCATAACGCTTAAAAAAAAGAAACTTCAAAAATAATAAAAAAGACTCCAAAACTAAATGCCACGGTAACGATATAGGGCATGCACTCCCTTCTCATCGGCTCTGGAGTAGAGTTTATTCATATTAGGTGTCTCCCATGTTGCAGAGGGATTTTCTCCAAGTTCTCCGGTTTTCTTTCCATCTGTGGATTACCCGTCCTAGCCCCTCACTTAGATCAGCCCAGAGGGACACGAGTGAAAAACGTTTGCGCATGTTTTGAATCCATATGCAAATTAGTCAAAACATAAGTAAATTTGACATTCAAACATGCCTGATAAATTGGACTTCACAAAATGCCAAAATTTAGTGTCCATGCTTGAAACTTAAGGCTAATTCTTTCATATTGTGTTTGTTAATACAGTATCGTGGTCTGACAAAAGTATATCCTCTCGAACGTTTTTGTATATCTTGGAGAAAACAAACATTTATTTTCTCAGACTCTTCAAAATTCTTAGAAAACGTGCTGAAGTGCACGCATGCGCAAACGTTTTTCTCTAGTGTCGCCTAGAGGTAGTTTAATTTACTTTGGATTTTTTTTCTTTTCCCTATTCTCATTTGTTTAATATTCTTGCCTTGAATTATTTTCATACATAGTATCAGAAAAGGGAACAAGAACCAATCCTGCCAAGTCTTGTCTAGATGTATTGAAGAGCGGCGCTTCAGCTGGGACAGACGAGTACTGGTTAGACCCAGCCAACACAGGGAGCCCAATACAAGCTTACTGTGATATGACAACAGATGGGGGTGAGTTGGAAATGAATGAAATATATTTTAGGAACAAACAAAATAGCTCCTAATCTAGGAATATGGTGGCTCACAGACCCTATATGGGAGATGGATGCACCTAGTAGTAATGGGCTCCTAATCTTGGAATATGCTGGCTCTCAGACCCAGTATGGGAGATGGATGCTCCTAGTAATGGGCTCCTGATCTGGGAATATGGTGGCTCACAGACCCAGTATGNCCTAGTAATGGGCTCCTGATCTGGGAATATGGTGGCTCACAGACCCAGTATGGGAGATGGATGCTCCTAGTAATGGGCTCCTAATCTAGGAATATGGTGGCTCACAGACCCAGTATGGGAGATGGATGCTCCTAGTAATGGGCTCCTAATCTTGGAATATGGTGGCTCGCAGACCCAGTATGGGAAATGGATGCTCCTAGTAATGGGCTCCTAATCTTGGAATATATTGGCTCACAGACCCAGTATGGGAGATGGATGCTCCTAGTAATGGGCTCCTGATCTGGGAATATGGTGGCTTACAGACCCATTATGGGAGATGGATGCTCCTAGTAATGGGCTCCTGATCTGGGAATATGCTGGCTCACAGACCCANGGGCTCCTGATCTGGGAATATGCTGGCTCACAGACCCATTATGGGAGATGGATGCTCCTAGTAATGGGCTCCTGATCTGGGAATATGCTGGCTCAGAGACCCAGTATGGGAGATAGATGATTGCTGGTAGTAATAACGTATAATATTTTTTTGAAACAGGTGGCTGGACGGTGATCAAACGCTTAATACTTCAGGAGTCTAATGTGCCAGCGAATAAGCGCTACTTGACTTATGAAGGTATTTCTCATTACAACGTCACTGACTCGAACGTCTATCCCCAAGGAGTCGCCATGTTGGACATCCTGCAAAAGATGGGATTCCACCAGATTCACTTCTATTGTCACAAGAAATCCGTGGGTCGAGTAGTGAGTATCATGACCAAGAACAACACAGCTGGACAAGATGTAGTAAAGTTCTTTACAAACGATACATATGCAAGCACCACCTTCCCTGATGCATGTGGCTCGTTCGATAGACTACCCGAAGACACGTCCTTTTTGGCTCAGAACTGCGCTATGTGGGGCAAGGATTTTACTGGACAACTCCGTGTCAACAAATGGAGCTATCAGCTCTACAACACTAAAACACGAATCAATGCTAGACCATTCTCCATTAACAAGAATCCTCTTAACGAAGTATTCATATTTGGAATTGCAGGTAAAAATCTCAGATGTGATGACGATGGCTCGAAATCAGTTGGAGAGAAGGGAGATATATTACAGATATCAGTACGTTAGAACAATCACAGACATCTAGCGTTGAATATTTAAAGTAATTCCATACCAAATCAAGGCTTACAATAAGTGCTACACCTGGCCAAGTATGAGTTTCGCTCCAAATAATAATAGCACCAAAACAAGTAAACATAACAAAGCTTGAAGATTTATCAATTTTTATTATTAGAATTTCCGAAGATTAAAATACAGTTCTACAATAGACTTCTTCTGTTTTCCCATTTCAGACTACGTGTCATTCCCTAGAGTATCATTTCTTTGTTTAAAGTTTGCGCTCGGTTGCGCATGAGAAGACACATGAATATGGATACAGCTCAAACAAAGAATCTTATTCTCAAGGGAATGGCACATGGTCTGAAATGGGAAAACATTACCCCAAAACGAAGAGGTCTATTCCTAGTGCTTTCATCAAGTGGCATAGGACTTTCATGCATTGGCTTGGTTTTGTAAGAGAGGTGTCGTGGGAGTAATAGTCGTTACTTCTGGAACCTTCTGAAGTTCATCTGTAGAAACTGGGAGGCCTGGGTTAAGGGTAGGAGATGGAGGTCCGTTGGACTGTACGACAGGAGCATCAGTACTCTCGGATGGTAACTGAAAATAAAAACCACAAATCAAGGGCTTTTAAATGAAATCTATTTTTGGGGAAGGAAGTGCAGTGCATTATGGTATATGATGGGTACACATATCTTTTACAGTGTAACTCTATCTATAGCAATATTGATAGCGCCCTTCAGTTTTGAAGCATATACAATGTTTCCGCCTAAGTTCAAACAACAGCCCACTTCCCAAATATGTTTCCCTTGTCACGCACAAAAATGCGAGGCTTCGTGCATAGTACTCAGTACTTCTTGAAAGAAGAAAAGAAGAAATCCAATAAGCATTTTGTTTTGACCTCTAGACGTACCTTTTCCTTTTCTTTCTTGAATCCAAATCGGCACATTGCCACATCAACCAGAAATCCAATAAATGAGTGCAACATACCTGAGAAAGATAACGACGAATAGACCTATTTAGCTTGGGCATGTCTTTACACTACAGACCACCTGTAATTTCTCAGAGTATAATTTCTTTGTTTAACGGTTGTGCATAAGAAGACACATGAATATGGATATAACTAAAACAAAGAATATTATTCTCAAGAGAATGATACGTGGTCTGAAATAGCAAAACATTATTACTCCCAAGGTAAAGAGGGGTATCATACTTAAAGCAGATGAAGAGTAATAGATTCTGGAAATATATGAAATAAAATTACTTGTAGCAACCATATGAAATAAGTCCTTAGAAAAAACTAAAACTCAGATTTTTCCCTYGTTCTTATTTCACATGTTTGCCATCGATGAATAACTTCATTTCATATACTTAAAAAATAAGAACGAAGATTAGCGAGTTGGCTCTCTGGGTCAGTGGATGAAAGGATGGCTGACCACCTACAGTACTTCTAAAATGAAGGTCGCGTGAGACAGATTAAACATTACGAATAGGCCTAGTTTGAGATATGAAAATTCTAGCAAGATACTGAGGCTTTCTTAAACATATAAACTATCTGTAGTGTTAGTGCTGTAAAAAATTTTCTTATTGCCGAAAGGTATAAACTTTGTATATGGTACATTATCATGCTCCTAGCAATAAATGTATTTGGAGATCCACACGTTTGTACCATACATTGAGTACCACTCCACTAAGACTGTATTGTATGAATGTATTTGGTGATCCACAAGGGTTAGATGTTTCAGTTTAGTTTTAGCCATTCCGAGGTTGAGGGAAAAAACTGGGTCGAGTTTATATTGCAGTGCATTGTGGGACTGTTTGAGGTGACATATTTCCAAGATGACCTCTGTTTCATCTGTCTAATATAGCCCCAAAATGTTCTGCAATGCCAGTTTAATACAGTTTTCAACCTCAAAATGGCTAATTTGTATATGTAATAGGACTCCATGCCGTCCAATTAAGAAATAGTTGGACAGGGAAAATTATGAGGACTAGTTACATATATGGGATTAATGAGAAGCTGTATAATCATAATTCTAATTCTATTAAAATTTCTTACCTGAGGTGGCAAATATCCCACCAACAATACCACAGAGTCGCACTAAAAAGGCGACCATTGATCGATGTTGATACTTGATGTGAACCATGATGGAAGACATATCATACTTGAAGAAAATACCTGTGAAAAAATACACTGCGTTATTGAATGTTACGAGAAAACCAAATAAAACAATACTTTATGCAGCTATTTCAAAAAAGGTTCATGAAGGTCATGTTGCATGTTGCATGTTGCAAGATGCATGTTGTATGTTCCTTGTTGCATGTTACATGTTGCATGTTACGTGTTGCATGCTGCATGTTGCATGTTACGTGTTGCATGTTACGTGTTGCGTGTTGCATGTTGCATGTCAGCACAGAAAAAAAATACCGGGAAAACGTACGCAAAGTTTAGGAAAATTTCATATCGTTGTGACCTTTCGCTGAATTCACATAGCGCGTAGTGCAGTTCGCACTTTGTATCCAACATACCACAAAACCTTCGCAGCCTTTTTTGAAATAGCTGTATACCGCGTAAACAGGGACGAAAGGCATTACGGCGGCTCGTAAGAATTAAGCCGAACAAGTATGGCGCACTGGCCGCCGAAAGCAAACAGCTAGGCACTACTCTTCCCACTAATTAGAATAGACCAGTATCGAGTTCCAAATTACCGCTGTGTTCCTTGATTACAGNTGCATGTTGCAATATGCATGCTGCATGTTGCATGTTGCATACTGCATACTGCATGTTGCATATTGCATGCTGCATGTTGCTTACTAAGCTCAAAATGTATTATCTTTATATGTAAATAATGTCAGGACAGAAGAGTTTATGCCGGAAAAACGTACAGACAAAATTCTATATTGTTACCCTTTCGCTGATTGTATTCGCAGCACCCACAGTGCATTTGGGACTAGGTATGCAACATGCAACAAAACACCTTCAACAGCCTTTTTTTGAAATGGCTGTATGCACACACACACGCACTTGAAGAATATGGGATATTGCATCATTTAGAGGAGATGGTCCGGTGGAAAATACCAAAAGACCACCTCTCACAGGCAAACAGAATAACAGGAAAGTATTTATAATTCATGTGATTCATATAGAAATGTGGGATATTGTATCAAAATTCCGACATGTAGTATATGCTATATAATGTATTAAATTATCATCGATATTGGAGGATCTAGGGTCTGACAGTGTCAATCGTTAGCTACTTTTGTCATTATAAAAAAGGAATTGCACTGGGAATAGGAAATAACATTTTGAAAATAGCAATAATTTGATTTACTTTTCTCAGGCATATAAGTCTTAAAATGCAAAAAAAAAAAATTTTCAAATTGGGATTTATTTTTCTCAGCCATATAATTCTTTCAAAAAAACTCTCAAAAACTACTATAATTATAAAATATTAATATGACAAAAAAACTAGAAGAGGGTGATAATGCACTGTACCTGGAATACCGTGGCTACCCCTGTTATGACTTATTTCACGGCTCTGTAATCAGATATACAATGAAAAGCATGGATATTATTTTACCAGTTACAGCTTTACTTCCAATATGCATGGACCCACGGAACATAATTCATTTTGTTGCGGGGGGGGGGGGGGGGGACTACGAAAACCACAAAAATATTTTAAATTTTGACCCTTGGAAATCAATTTCTAGCATTTCAAGGGGTATTTACAAGGGAGCCCCCCAGCCCAACCCCCTCCACAGTCCCTGATATGCATCCTCAAGCTTCAGTTTGTATCAAAAACTTGTTTGATACTTGTTGTGAGAAGTACAGTAGTCAAAGCGATTAAAGTACTCCCCCCTCATCAATGCAATCCGGGTTCAATCCCCAAACTTAGTGTTGGTGGTTGCTTGTTGGTTCTCTTTAGTGCATCAAGGGTTTTCTCCAGGTTCTCTGGTTTTCCTCTGTGCACAAAAATCAACTCCTAAATTCCAATTTCATCATGGAACAAGTGCCACAGGTTTGTTAGCCACTGGATATGTGCTACCCTCGTAAAACAAGGACAATTTATATGACATTTCCCATGATCCTCAGCGATTGCAGCTTTGTAGGTGGTTATGGTGACAAGCTTTATTAAAATAAGTACCATAAATATAACAAAAGGTTGTTCAAACAGGACTTACCTTCTGTGTTACTGAGTACTGATTGGTCAAAACCTCCTGTGAAGAGCCGAGGAACTTGATCTTAGTTGGTACTATCTTGATGTAGTACTGGTACATCATGCGAGCTGGGGAAATATTTTTATGAAAACATATTATCAAACAACAGTTGTAGGAGTTAGATTAGGGATTTAGGGGGGAGGGGTGGTGTTACTCAGTACCCACCACCTCTGGAAATGAAATCTTAGATTTTGTCCCCAAATATCTCCAAAACTAAAAGCCAAATGACAGAAAGGAATGGACTGTCTGTCTGCATGTATGCTAAAAAACATATTTGTGTATAGAAATTGCCACTACAGACCGCCAGCATTGAGCATTTGAACAGGTCTCTGAGGGGGGAGGAGGGAGGGGGTATGTACCAGTATACATGTACACCACCTTAATTCATCAAATCGGGTCCCTATTTTGGACCATTGTTTTAACCTCGTCACTTAGGCTTATTACCCAGGAATATACTCTTCCTGTACTCTTTCAATTGAGAGAAGACTTGAACTTTACTTGCCCTTGTCTGCTGTCTGCATATCCCCATCTAAAGGGTTAACATAGCCAGGCATGTGATGTCCAAAAGAAAGCCGGTCAATGCGATGAGAAAAATTCACAGCTGAAGATAAGAGAAATTATGATCAACAATTATGAGGATTTCCTTTGATGCAGTTAGAATGGTAGAGTGAACGGTCATTTATTTAACAAGGAAGGGAAGGAAGGTGGCAGGAAGGATAGAGTTAGAAAGTGAGAGATTGGTATTAATAAATGTATGGAATTGAGGGACAGGGAGAGGAAGGGAGGAAAGAAGGAAGTGAGGGAGGAAGGAGTTGAGGAAGGAAAGGATAAAGTGAGGGGGAAAGAGAGGGATGGATGGAGGGACAAAGAAGGGAGGTACAGATGAAAGGAGGAAGAAAAATGGCAGGGAGTGAGAAAGGAAGAGAGGTAAGGAGGGAAGGAAGGAAAGAAGGCAGTGAGGAAGGAAAAGATAAAGTGAGGGGGAAAGAGAGGGAGGGATGGAGGGACGAAGAAGGGAGCTACAGATGAAAGGAGGAAGAAAAAAGGCAGGGATTGAGAAAGGAAGAGAGGTAGGGAAGGAAGGAAAGAAGGCAATGAGGAAGGAAAAGATAAAGTGAGAGGGGAAGAGAGGGAGGGATGGAGGGATGAAGAAGGGAGGTACGGATGAATGGAAGAAAAAAGGCAGGGAGTGAGAAAGGAAGAGAGGTAGGGAGGGAAGGAAGGAAAGAACAAAAGAAGGGTGGTAGAAAGGAAGCAAGGGAGGGAGGGAAGGGTTAGTTGCATTACCTTGCTCAGGAACCAATGCACTTAGATGAGCATGTCCCTGTGGATGTTGAATGGATCTAGAAATAAAAGTTTAAAATTCCTTCATAATAATTACTTAAATACACTATAATTAAAGTAATAGTTAATTAAAGTAAATACTTTTTATTTTAAGTTTTAATTTCAAATTTTTATTTTTCTAATTACTATTTTTAATTATTAATTATTAATATGACTATCTAACATTACATTAGTATTGATCAAGATAGATTCTACTTACTTTCCAGAAGTAAGATGGAAATTTCCAGCCACTTTATTGACTTCAAATGACCCATACACTCTGCAAGCATCATGAGGCTTTCCTTCCTGATTATCACTATCTTTCCTAATTTATAAAAAATAACTTACTAATTATATATTACAACCACTACTCCCTGTACAGGCTCTTCCATGAGGTTCCCTCTACATGCAGTACTCACTACATTCTTTAATTACAACTTACAACCAACAACTCTCATCTTGGTTTCCAAGGAGGGAGGTAACCAGAAACCCAAATGGATTAATACACAAATTCCAAATCATTCATTTTGTGGGTTGACACAAAGTAGAACACTTTAGCTTGGACATAATGTTTTCACATTTCAACCCAGATGTCATTCTCTAGAGTATCATTACTTTTTTTTAAATCTTTATACATGAGAAGATACATGAATATGGATACAACTCAAACAAAGAATATTATTCTCAAGAGAATGACATGTGGTCTGAAATGGGAAAACGTTACATCTCAGGTAAAAAGTCTATGGGCCTTGCTCACATGGCAGCCATCTTTATTCTCATGATAATAGAAACCTACATTTGTTTAAACCATATAAATTTTCAAGCACTTGAATGCAAGGTTATGCGGAGGAAAGCTATTGTTCCAGTCAACATGGCTGCCGCGTGAGTAAGATCCATTAAAATGAATACTACAGTAGAGTATATTTCTGACTACCTTTTAGGCATATAGGTAGGCATCCCTGACTTAAATGACTCCATTTCACCAAGTGAACGATAGCCTTCAAAAAAGTAGTAAAAATCTTTGAACATTCTGTGAAAAAAAACAATAAGACTGTTATTTTGTAACTACAGTAGCTCACCAATGTCTCATGTACATGTATAATAAAGAGCATCCTTATTCTTATTCACCTATTCCAAGTGTGAGGTTGTCAGAGCCAAAAGAGATGAGCAATAGGCAATAAAAGATAGGGAATAGTTGATTCAAAGATTAAAGAATAGAGCTTGAATGACTTTTGATGTTTTTATCATTCTCATCAAGAACAATGAGGTTACTGTTGAGATATATTCAGAGTTGGCTGTAGTGAGCTACTGTACCTCAGAGAGCTATCTAAATGCCTCAGTTATTTGAGTTTAGATGCATGTTACATACATATATCCTTCCAGCTATCTCCTATCACCTTTAGCTGCAACAATTATTTTTTTAAATAATGTAGGTGTATTCCTGTGAAATGTTTGAAGTTGGAAAGTATGTAACGRTCTTTCAAAAAACTTTATTCAAAAAAAATTCTTTAAAATTGAATCAACCCCAACAGTGATTAATTAAATGTACAGTACAGTACATTATATGTATCGTGTGAAGATATTACTTTTCAGTAATAGAAAAAAATAGATCTTCAATGATTATGAAATATTATGAATAAGATTATTATCAATTTTAATTACTACTTACGTCATCCATATCTTCTGTTCGTCTGTCAACTCAAAGTATGCCTATGAACGAGAAACAAACATGATTAGCAGACCTAATGAGCGTGCAGTAAGGCCAAACAAAAAAAATGTGGTTTGCTGTTGTGCGACCAACCCTAATTTTCTTGTCGATTTTTGCCGACACTAATATTTTTTCATTCCCTAATGCACCACAGGGTTCCCAGTAAGCTCATTTCCACTGTTGTATCAGTAAAAAAAATCCAACCTACCGACCCCAATTATTTTTTCTCATGCAACAGGAAACACACTTATTTTTTTATTTGGCCTAATCAGAAATAAAACCTTTAATTTTTTGTATAAACAACCTAGCCCTGGTCTGATGTAAGTCAGAGCATGACTAACTCACAGATTGAACCCTGAAACAACCTCTGGGCTGATCTAAGTCAGGGCATGACTAACTCACAGATCATACCCTGAAACAACCTCTGGGCTGATCTAAGTCAGGGCATGACTAACTCACAGATTGAACCCTGAAACAACCTCTGGGCTGATCTAAGTCAGGGCATGACTAACTCACAGATTGAACCATGAAACAACCTC